CAGTAAACACTGTGAAGACTGGAATGCCTTAGGGAGATCTGATTATGTCTTTTGTTGGTTGCTTGATTGGTTGGTCAAACATCAACTTTGTGGATTAATTTTTCATACAATACATTATGAAATCAGTGTGTTACTTTCATGTATTGAACACCTCCTTGGTACTCAAACTTGTTTAATTAAACTACAGTTTATTAAATTTTGTATTTCTGGAAAATTTCTAGCCAAACATAAATGACATCAGAGGTACCTGGCAGTGTAAAGAATGGGTTTCTTTTGCATAGCTATCTACAGTACATGGTAGTATATTTACAATTGAGCTGTAGAAGGGGATTTGAGTAAGACAAATCCTGAAAGCTTGCCTCTAAATTATTACAGAAACAGAATTTAGTTTTCAGTACTCTAACTGGTTTAGTTCTTCATAAACATTGGAAATACATAGCTAAATGTTGTATATTTAGCAAATGCTCTGGTATTATTTAAAATTCAATTTTCTAGATATTATATCAAAGCTGAATTAACTTTCATGACAATAATAAGTTTCTTAGAAACTGTTACATGAGTGATATATCACAAGTTTAAGGCTATCAAGTAGAGGTAGTAGGAAGAATAGCTTAACAACCAGAGAAATAAGTGATTTACCCACTGTGAGTACTGTTCTTTTTTTCTAGTGACAAGGTCCCACTAAGTTGCTCAGGCTGGACTTGAACTTGAAATCCTCCAGCCTTAGCCTCCCCAAGTTCTGGGATTACAGTGTGCTCTACCAGGCCTTGCAAATTGGTGTTAAGTCATTCATTAACAAATACTCTTTTTTTTAATATATGTGCACTCCAAAGTTAAGAAGAGCTATTTAGCTCCTTAATTTGGGGGAAAGTCTTAAGTAAAAAATTCAAAATTTCTAGGTCAAGTTTCCATAAAGTCTACCCAATTTCCTTTTATAGCTAACTTGTTGGTGCCAGATATCAAAGATACGAATTTTAACCTTTTTCTAAACTTGCTATTAGTTCTGTCACAGCATTATTTTGAGTCCCAATTTGAGGTTTCAAATTAAACAATTATAACAGCTTATAGTATATTCACCATACTTATCCTCTTTAATGTATGTGCTTTGAAGGCAGAAGTGATATAGAAAAACAAAGTATTATTAAATATCCTCATAATACATTTTTTTTTTCCGTACCAGGGATCGAACTCAGGTCTTTGTGCTTGCAAGGCAGGCAGTAGAACCACTGAGCTAAATCCCCAGCCCAATACATCTTTTTCTCTTTCCAGATGTCCTACATTTGACTATGGTTCCTTTGTGTTTCATTCATTCAGAGTGCTTTTCCCTTTCCAGATGACTTCTTTAGCCATGCAGCCACTCCACTCCCACATGCATCTCCAAAGTAAGCCTCATCCTGTAAAGTAATGATGTCAGCCACGTTTGTATCATTACAACTGAATCCCATGCATCTTGTCCTATAACCTCTTACTCCCCTAGTAGCTTCTCTGCTTTCTACTCATTGGCAAGAATTAGAAACATCCCTATTCAAATCCCCTTTTTTGTTGGTTGACCATATTTGATAGATTCCACTTCCTAAATATCTTTGGAACATGCATCCTTTCCCTGTCATGTTATAGTGTCTTGGCTGTATTGTAAGCTACATCACCCTCTTCAAACATTACATGAGTTTTCTCCTGGTTTTCATGTCTGCCATGCTGCCAGGGAAATACTTCTTACTGTTTCTTTGGTTTTGGTTTTTTGGGACAAGGTCTCACTATGCAGCCAAGGCTGACCGTCAACTCACTATGCAGCCCAGCTGGCATCAAACTTGAGACCCTCTTGTCTCAGCCTCTAGAGTGCTCAGATTGCATTTTCTAACAGAAATCTAACCATATCACACACAGGATTGGCACACTTTCTATTTCTACAGAATAATTTCCTTGGTACATCCCACAAAGGGTTCCATAATCTAATACTACCCTGTGCTTCCAATCTTGGATTGAATTCATGCCAATCTCCTTCTCAGTTTGGATAACTGTGGTTTTTCCTCTTCTAGCTCCATGCAGCCATACATCTACTGATAAACTCCAATTAATTTTCTGATATTAAGTTAAGCAGTATTCTATGAAACCTTACTTATTTATATCTCTACCACCAAAATCTCCATTGCTTATATAAATAACAGTGGAAACATTCTTTGAAAAAGAGTGATTCAGAAATTCAAAATGAAGTTATGATTAGAGTAGGAAAAAAGAAGCATGACAAAATGATTCTATTTTTGACTTAGAATCACAAGATTTTATGGATGAAAGACTTCTTAGAGTCAATCCAGACCAAAGTTTTTTGTGGTTTCCATATAAAAAGTAAAAGCTCTTGCCTTAAGATGAAGTTTGGGAAATTTGTATCTAGTTGTGTAATACCAACTGCATAATTTGCGTGATCTTTCTACAGTATTCAAGAAATAAGTCACTACAATATTCATCCATAAAATTTAGAATCATAGAATCTGCACTTCATAGTCTCAATTTCTCTCTATCCTATTGCTAGAACTTACACTTTCTTAAAGAAATGAAGTTGGCATCATTTTGTATTAAATTCACTGCCCATACTAAAAATTCACTGATTAGAAATGAATAAACCAAAATTTTCATTGCAAGTTGAGACAACTGGTCTTCCTTTATTTTTCAAAACTTTTTATCAAAACCTTTTGTAAAGGCAAATTATGAAAAAGGCAAAACAAATTATTATAGTCCAAGGTGGACTACGTTGCATTTCATCAGTAAAACTTTAAAAAACAGAGGGAATTAGGTGAGGTCTTTTTGGCACATCTTACAGTTTCAGTGGAAACCGTTACCAGTCATGAGACCCATACACAGTTCCCTTATTTATTTATTTTTTTTCCGGTAGCCGGGATCAAACTCAGGACCTTGTGGTTGCGAGGCAGTCACAGTGCCACTGAGCTAAATCCCTGACCCAATACACAGTTCTTTTATGTAGAGGTCTCCAAACATCTAAAACTCAATTTTTCAAATCCAACTCATTTTAAGGAATGTCTGTCTGAGAGCCCAAATATGAAAGTCATGTTTCTGTCATTAACTGAACTATTTAAAGTGATAGTCATAGTTGATAAAAGTTTCATGGTGCATAAAATTATAATTGTGTTCTATTTTAGCAGCCACATTTCAGAGACAGGGAAAGAATGGATGGACCCATCTGACCTATCTTTATCAAACCAAGTCATCTAGGCCTTGAATTTGGGGTTACTTTCTTCTAAAAAAGGTCCCCATTTTCATAGACAATTCTCCTGAAAAAGGTTCCACAGCAGTTTGTTTTCCTTTTTTATCTACATCTCACTTCTTGAGGTTGATTCTGAAAGACCTGGAACTCAGAGCTCTTGATCCCTTCTTGTTTAGGGGGTTTCCCTGTTTAAAATATGTACAATCTTAAAATATGTAAAATGCCCCTGAGTCTCCAGTGCTGAGTTACTGGCATGAGAAATGACCAAGTGAGTTACCTGGAAAGCTGTTTTTACTTGCAAGTCCCCCAGGCCCTATAAGCTCTAAACCCCCTGTGCCGCTTTATCTGACCAGCTCCGCCCCACAAGAGAGATGTACAGGAAAAGCAGGCTCCCCTCAACCCCGTTCCCTCAGTTTCTTTACGAAACATCTTCCATGAGAGTGAGCTGTGTGTGGTTCCTGTGGTGGATTTGGGGATGGTTTCCTACAGCAGAGGACAGGGCAGCACAGTGGCCTCTCCACAGTTGGCCTTCACACCTCTGCACCAAGGCTCTTGGGTCCTACAGGTGCTCCTTCAGAACTCGGTGTGGACCAAACATCTCTGTGAGGACACATTTAATCACAGCAAGGACTGTGAGAGGTGATCCCTTCTACCACCAGCAAAAGAAGTGGGAAGTATGTTGGGATGCCTTTGGACTCCTGTGCCTCAATCTTAGCTTCTCAAAGGAACATGACTTTCTTTCTGGCATCCTGAAAGGACAATAAAGCTATTAGCATTACATCCGTATAGAGACTATGTTAGGAGAAGAAATCATCTCAAATGCCAGCTACAGGAGATGCCCTTTAGTTAGCAGTTCCTATCAGATCATGAATAGAGAGGAAGAGCTCATGAAAACATGAATCTCCCTGATGTTTGTTCACTTTATTTAGATTTGCTCCTGAACACTCACCTCATGCATCGGTGACTCCTGGCAGCCCGGGAGTATGTGTAACAGTGATGTTCAGTCCATCTCTCCAAGTGTGCCTTTCCCTTCAGCAAGGAGAAAGCAAGGACACTGAAACTAAGAATTCCCTCCCCAAAGACAAAATATTGAACATAAGCACTCATATATTTTCCATATGGAAATACTGGTAAGAAAAGTCACATTTTCACCATTATATCCATCTGATCTGCTAATTATTAAAACTATGTGAGAAGAAACATTTCTGGAAAGCATTGAGGGGTGGTGAGTAGCTAACTTACTTTCAGAATTAATTTGCACTGGATCAAAGGGTAAAACTGTGTTCACTAATAAACTGTAATTGAAAATAATATTCCAGAACTTAGCATTCTTGTTCAAGCTATGCCCTGGTGTATGTTGCTATACTGCTGAAGAAATAAGAGACATGTGCTTACTATCTACTACAGAAATGAAAAGCTGAACTCGCATGTGCTGTTTGCAAGGTGTATGCCAGCACAAAATCACCGGTCTCTGATTTCCCAGGGTGCTAATTAAGTAAGAATAGCTTATATATAAACTTTGTAAATCATGTGAGCCACATATATTTTTACTTTTCCAAAGCATAAGTGTTATGAACTCTGAAATTAAAATAATATACGGTCTGTTAAGGGAAATATCAGATCTCAAAATATGTAGGAGAAATATCCCACCTCGTTTACTCAGGGTCACCAAGTTGCAAGCTAATGAGAGAAATGTATACACCATGCAAGATGTCGCTTAACTTCTACATCCAGGGTTTAACCTTCACTGTTCACTGTTGCCTTTCTGCATTTGTCTCCCCAGTGCACCCCAGCGTCAGTCAAGGCTGCCAAGGGGGCTGTGCGACGTGTTCTGATTACAATGGGTGTTTGTCGTGTAAGCCCCGACTGTTTTTTGTTCTGGAAAGAATCGGCATGAAGCAGATAGGAGTGTGTCTCTCTTCATGTCCAAGTGGATATTATGGAACTCGATATCCAGATATAAATAAGTGTACAAGTAAGTGCCTACACAACATTATATTTTTATCCCATCCTCGAGGACTTTTCCTCACTGAATATCTGTGATATTCAATGTTGAGTAAATAATAATGTTGACCTGATAATTAGGCTAAACTATATTTGGACTTAACCACCTGTCAGGACAGGAAAATTTTCAGCCACTACTGTAACTGACAAAATATAAAGCACTTAAGTTTTTATGGAGGGGTGTTGTATCGTAAAAGCTAAAGCTGAGGATGTGACTATTACTCACTGAACCCACAGAGAAGTTCTGCAAGCATCAGTACCATCTAAGGTCTTGTTACTGTCGCACAATCCAAGTATTTAATAACTTGAAGAATCATTTTAGCTATCTGGCTTCCAGAAAGGCTCCAGTATGGCAAGTGAAACATTTATTTTATCAGTTGGAAACAAATGTTGGAAGCACTCTCATCTGGACCCTGAACCTGCTCTCCATGCTGAAGATGAAGTGACCTTTCGAAACTGTAAATTAGGAAATCTCGCTCCTCTGTCCAAACATGACATGTTGCAGGGCTTCTCTCTCCAACCTCATCTTGCCCTGACCTCCCTGTGAGATGCTCCCAACACAGGCCCTGGCAACCACTGCTCTCCTGGGCGCCTCTGCCACACCTCAGCCTGGCTAAGCCCTCTCCCTCTCAAAGAGGCTATGACACCTCACCACATTAATCTGCCTCTTCCTTTCATCACTCACTTCCCATCTTTTTTTCCTGCATTTTTCTGTTGTCGTTTTCCAGAGCCCTCCTTACTCTGGAACCAAACTGCCTGGGTTCAAAAACCATTCTGCTTTTTGTGGTTCTTGGCTGGTTACATAACCATTTCAAGCCTTGGTCATTTTATTATTTTATCGGTCTCATTATCAAAATGAGAACCATCATAAAGGGCACTTTATTGGATTCTTATAAACTTTAAAAAACCTTAAGATTGTGAATACTTGTAATAGTCCTGGTTTATAGTGTTTGCCTTTTAAGATCAGCGATTGCTATTTATTATGTCTCCTTGAATTGAGTTTGGGGCAGCCTCTAACTGCCCAAGCTGCTCCTGTTAAGGTACACAAAAATAATGCCTGGCAGTTAGTGGGTAATCAGATGGCTGCTGAGTGAATAAATAGTCCTAAATAACAGCACAAAGTTCTATTGGGACATCAACGTCATTTAATACAAATAGTGACTTGGTATTATAACCATTCTTGGCTGTATACATACAGGTAAAATATCCCTTATCTGAAGTCCATTGAACCAGAAGATTTTTTTAAGTTTTATAGATTGGGGAATATTTGCTTAGATTTTATTGGTGGAACATCTCAAATCTGAACACCCAAATATGAAACTTCTGCAGAATAAAGTCACATTCCAAGTGTCTCAGATTTCAGAACATTTGGGATCTTTAGATATTTGAAAAATGAAAGCTTAAGTCATATTACCAAAAATTTTTCATAAAGCACCCAGTGCACTGATTTTGAACGCAACAACTGATGTACATCAAGGAAACGACTGGAAGAATCCTTACTTCAGTTTAGCAAAATAACTTTGAACCCCAAGTTTGTTTGACACCAAAGTTGCGTGTGCGTGTAAAACTGGTTCAACGATAAAGAAGTTAGTAGGTAATGAAAGCATATTTTCTCCTTTCCTTTTCTTTCAGAATGTAAAGCTGACTGTGATACCTGTTTCAACAAAAATTTCTGCACAAAGTGTAAAAGTGGGTTTTACTTACACCTTGGGAAGTGCCTTGACAATTGCCCAGAAGGCCTGGAAGCCAGCAACCACACCATGGAGTGCATCAGCATCGGTGAGAAACTCTGGGATGTGGAGTGGATGAGAAGCACCCCCGGTGGTAGCAGGCTCCATGCACAAGCTGCTGAATCCAATTTCACAAGAACATGAAGGTGTCTCTAAGGGATTACCCATCCCTTTTACAAAGACAGCATCTTAGAGATGTTCCCATACCCTTACTCAGCATATAGCACAGTACAATTTTATACCTAGTGAGTGTGCCGTTATTTCTTAGGGATTCTGCTAATTGTTTTGATTATTCTGATTATTTTGTAGTATGAAGTCCTACTTGTAATAGTGTGTGTGTGTGTGTGTGTGTGTGTGTGCGTGTCTGCGTGCGTCTGTCAGTCTCTCTAGCCACGTGTGTCTTGAGCCAAACTCTGCTCTAGGGTAATTTTCACAGAACACCTAGGTCTGACCTCAGCCAGTCACCAAAGCTGTTTTCCGAGGAGAGAGGGCGTATTTTCTGAAGCAGCCCACTAACTCAGCAAAGTTCTGCTTGTACCGATATTCAGCAATAAAAAAGGGAGGATTTTGAACTTACTCAAACTGACCAAGTGAGAAGGTCCCAGGGTCTGATTAATTGCAGGCTGAGCTTCCTGGAGGGGAGGTCCTCAGACAGCGTCTGTCTAAATAACATCACTGTAAGGCTGTATTTTCCTCTTACGTGTTGTGCAGCCACTAGAGCACAAAGCTGATGAACTCTTGGGGAGCAGATGCTATCCCGAAGGGGAAAACAGCATAGGAAAACTCAGAGTCCCCTGGGCAAGAACTGCAGGAGCCTTTGATGCTGCCGTGACTCTGGCGTGGCAGGAACAGCCCTCCCGATCGGCCCGACAGTCTCCAGAGCTGCCCCGGGTGCTGCAGCGTGGAGCCATTAGGACCCCAAGTGTTGGAGTAAAAACTAGAAGGTGGTGCTTTAACCATTTCAGTTCCAACCCAGAAATTCTACTTCTAAACAACACTTTAGGTAGAACAGATTAAATGCATAATACTTTAAAGATGTCTTTAGAAGTAGCAGGAAAACAATCTTGAATCAGTTCATGATGATTTTGGTTAAGTCTTTTCTTGTCCAGTCAATAAAACACAGAAAAACAACTTAGGAAACGGGTAAAAGGTACATGAGAAAGTACTTCACGTTCATCCGTTTATAGGTCCCGAGGGCTATGATTAGAGGTAATAAGTTCCAAACAGTGGAAAAATATGGGAAACACTTTTGCAGAATAGGCAAGCACAAAACTTCAGGACAAACTGCTAAAAGTTTATGGGATTTCTTTATCTAGTGAAAGGACACATATTTAAATTTTCTAGGGTGTTGAAAGTGCGCCATTCAGTCTTAGAAGGCTATGTATACTAAATTTAGACAATATTCGACACTGATACTTTCGGATTAGTCTTTAAAACTCAATAATTTTATATCAGTAAAACTAAGATTATTTCTTTTTTTCGGTACCGGGGATCGTACTCTGGTCCTTCCGCTTGCGAGGCAGGCAGCGGAACCACTGAACTAAATCCCCGGCCCTAAGACTATTTCTTGAAACAAATGTCAGTAATTTATATATTTTAAAGTGGGCACTAACTGTCTAAAGGCCCTTTAATTAATCTGACATATTTAGCAGGTATAAATGACACTAGTCGTACGGACCAGAACTTTGTTTTTCAGGGCTGGCTTTCGTTTTTTTTTTTTTTGCTCTGTGACAGTGGTGGCAAACCTGTGGCACATGTGCCGCAGCAGGCACATAGAGCCCTCTGTCAGCACGTGAACCAAGTCACCCTGATGTCACTCCAACAGCACCCATGGGCGAAGTGTTGGCACTTTGCCATAAATAAGTGGGTTTTGGGTTGCAGTTTGGGCACTGGGTCTCTGAAAGGTTCACCATCACTGCTCTAGAAGCATGTTTCCCATCATATGGCACCTAGACTACAGGTAGTAAGTACCCTTGTAGGGTCATCCCAGAATTACCAAGAAAATGATGACCTATACAAAGGAATATGAAAAAGTCGATTCCTTTAACAAAAAAGAAAACTGAGACAAAAGGAGCTAAAAGGTTGGCCCCAAGGACATAATATAAGCTATCACTGCTACTATTGGTACCTGCTCCTCACTGGCCATCCAGCAGAAACTGTCTCTCCCCTTGCTAAGCTCGAAGCACCTCATGTCTTGATTCCTACCTAGATTTTCGATCGAGTGCAAAGACCATGAACAGAGAAGATACTGCCCTGATATAAAGTTGGGGTGAAAGACTCATGTCACAACTAATCTACTCTCCATGGTTTTCAGGCCAAGTTAAGCATAAATAAACATCCACCAAACCCAGTTTTGTAGGAGGATATAATCTTTCTACTTTGTGCTTGAGGTACTTGCTTCCTGTCTAGCTGTCATCTGTACTCCTCAGTGTTCCTCTTGGAGAAGTGGACTTGCTGAGGGAGTCACCAAGGAAAGACATACCCCTCTAAACTCCGAGTAGAGAGGACCATGTCCTTGCCATGTTTACCATGGAAACATGTAGTAGGTCAGCAGGAATTACAACCAAAGAGAGTATGGTGTGGAAAGGCCATGCCTGGTAAGACATCACATGCCATCTTCCTCCCTATTCCAGGACTGTAATCACTCCTTTTTTTTTTTTTTTTGAGACACTTGCTTCACTAGTGAATAGCTAAAGATTTCTAGGATTAACATTGTTAATAAGGAAATAGAAAAAACACAGATGTTGAGTAGTTCTGCTTTTTCTTAATTATTATGTCTTAATACAGTGGTGCTCTAGGTCTATACTGTTCACTAATGACCTGATATAACATACATCATCTTTGTTGGCCTTAGGATTTTTGCAAAGTTACCATTTTTTGGAAAATATTATTTGGATGATAAAATTATAGCTTTATTCTACACTATTTCTATCAAAAAATTACCTTGTGGCTTTTTAATCTAGAGTTTTTATTGTCCCATCTTATTAGTTTGAAAGTATTTCTTGCTCCAGTGGAATTATCCACAATCATCATTAGAATTTCATTTGTAAAAACATTCATCTTCAGACTGTAGGCAATAATACCTATGCCCTAAGTTTTTAGATCTAGTTTTCTGAGGTCTAAAGTCTATGTTTCCCCTTGCCCTCTTTACTAGTATGAAAGACTACCAAGGTTCTGGTTACTTCCACATTAGATAAGTATATGCTAATTGAGCTCTCTTAATTCTGGCACTAAATTAATATTGGACAAAGTCAAAACTCACAAAATTTCAATTGTATTTTTCCAGTATGACAAGTGGATTTAAATTTCTAAAACATTTAGGTTTCTGTTTCTTGAGGCTGTCACCAGAGACAGCATTCTGCTATAAAAACAAGGATTCATTAAACCAGAAATCACCAGGAGAGGGGCTGAAAGCTTGTTTTTGTGAAGGGTCTAGTATCTCTCTGAAAGAATTAGTGTTGGAAGCTGCTGCTACTGTTTTAAGTTGGGAAGTTTTATAGTCATAAATATAAAAAAGCACCTTCAGATGTTTCTTTTCATCAGAAAATCTGTTATGAAACCTGGGATATCCATTATTGTAAAGATTACTACATACCAAAGAAGGAAACAAAGCTTCGGAAAGGATCCACTGTTCCTCTTGGGGACCACTTAGTTGAGTTAATTCTATAAGCAGATTATCAGCTGAAATTGACCCAGAATTCACTTAAAATAAGTGCTACTGTGCCTGAGCCACATCCAGTAATAAATATTATTTAAGAGCTTCACAGCACAGGAAGTAGGAAAGGCAGTGAATGTAGAGCAAAGATCTGTATTCATTTTCTGTTCAACCATAATCTGGCATAGAGGCTCACAAAACTGTCCCCGGGATCTGCAAATCAGCAACACCTGTGTTGACAATACCTGTATTTCTGACAAGAAGCCAAAAACTCTAGGGTTGTGTCTAGCATTCTGTGTTTTATCAGGCCTGCTAGGTGTTCTGATGCATACTGAAGGTTTAGAATCAATTCTCTAACAAATAATGATTTCTTTTAAGTTCTGATCAGGATCAATCAATAATTGTAGCAGTGCTCGAAAATTGTAAAGCATTGATCCATTGTAACTCTAGTAGTGGCAGGGATAAATTTAGAACAAAAAGTCAACCCAACAATGTGTTTACCTGACAGAATAAGGACAAAAAAACTTGAAAAGACTCTAAGTCTGCCTCTCTCATTCTCTTTGTTTTATATTTGAGCAATCTTGTCCAACATTTTTCTACAGGACTTACCCTCAGAACTTGGACTACTTTATTTTACTTACCGTGACTGTGTTTGAGAACCAGCTGAGACCATGTCTGCCACTCTGTTTCAGTGCACTGTGAAGCCGGTGAATGGAGCCCTTGGAGTCCATGCACGAAGAAGGGAAAAACATGTGGCTTCAAAAGAGGAACCGAAACTCGGGTCCGAGACATAATCCAGCACCCTTCAGCAAAGGGTAACCTGTGTCCTCCTACAAGTGAGACGAGGAAGTGTACAGTTCAGAGAAAGAAATGTCAGAAGGGAGAACGAGGTACAATCACTTTAACAAAATTTGCTTCTTTCAGTCCTTGTAAGTTGATGCATAATTCACTTTTTTTTCTTAGGGAGCAATTTGACAATATTGCTCATGTCTAAAACCCTAAAAAGGATGATATAAAGGATATGTTGGCTCTAAGATACAGAATATAGATATAGTAACTTTTACAAATGGGTCCCTTATCAGAAATTTACTATGAAAGTGTACTCCTTGAATTTTGAAGCTTCAGGCTGTATTATAAGCATGCAGGCCGCTGTCTCTGCTAGGTTCACCGAGAGTGCCTGGAGGTTCTGGGAAATCCCATAACGTGAGATCCAGTGCCATTTGGTACCAGACCACGGCAAACATTCAACACCACCAACCCGCTCCTTTCCTTGCTGCCTACAAATCCAAGTGGCACAATTAGGTTTGAAACTTTATTAGCCAAATATGTATTTACTTTTAATACTGACTTTATATTCAAATTAAATGACCAAGTCCATATTTTATAAGGATAATACAACCATTAATGACATCCTATGACCAAGTTTGTAACTGTTTTCCATACTGCACTAGTTTTATATGTTAGACTACAGAACCTGATGTATCAGTATTAACTGTGTCGGGACTTATTCTAAAATCTTATGAGTGCCAAGAGAAATATACTATTAAATATGATGTCTGAGGGTGAATAAACTTCCATTTAGAAGAATCACAGTTGTTGACCTTTAAAATGGCACTTTCCCATCTTTCAAACTTACGTCCCCTAGCACCTCTGCATACTAATATGTTGTGTAAATTTAAATTACTCTTGGTAGTTATCTAGTGAGCTTACAGATGATCCCCTTAATTATTTAACTGCCTTCAAAAGAACCAGCAGCCTGCGAACTTGACCCACTTCATTTATTTGATCTATTCATTCAACACAGTTTATTGGGTTCTTCCTTTATGGTTACACATAGTTCTGAGCCCTAGGGTTTGCACTCAGTAGAGTACCGTGAGAGGGTACTCGGAAGGTCTCTTCGGAGCCTAGTGAAGGACTGAGATGTGTAAGCAATGAGAACAATATCAGATAGTAAAAGAGCTTATAGGTATTTATGAACTATGTTTAATGGCAACACAATAGAGGACTGATTCCGTGCAAATGTGAACATTGCTTCTATAAAATAGAATTTGGATCACCCATGCTTCACAAAGTACTTTTCTTTTTATTAAAAGAACTGGTTATCATCAGAATGTAGAAAGCATTTTGTTTTAATAATCAGGTAGTGTGATAAAACTCTTGAAGACATGGGTTACTTTAAAGAAAACTTCAAACTTTTGTAAATTTGTAAGAGGTTTTGATTAAAATTTAATTTCAGGAATGAAAGTTGGCCAGTGAGAAAGGCCCTTCTGGCATTTGTTACCAATTAATTTAAAACATCTTAGATTTTAAAAGTTGGATTTGGAAGTCAAATATTTTATCACTCTGCTTGTTGGTATGCTCCCATAGCCCTACATTTACTTATGTTTACTGAATTTTCTTAAAATTTAATGACTTACAGGTGGTCTCTGTTCATATTCTTTCCACCAAAATTCTACAGTTCTAATCAGTATTCAGTATATTTTCCTTTTTAAAAATTTAAGTGACAAAAGGCTGAGCCAACAGAAAAATTAAATTTTGATACAAATTACATTTTATTTCTCTGATTTGATAATATGGTCTTCTAATTTTTTTTTACTAGCACTTCACTTAAACATTAACATTGAAAATGTCAGATCTTAAAACTAGCAACTTATAACAAATAATGCCACAAGACATTTGAAATAGTAAGATTTGACAAAAGACTAGGCTTCATAGTTTCTTTGTGATCTTTTTCCCTCCTCTCTGAGGATACAATAACATTTTACATTTATGAAGAGAACTTTATACAATTAGAAAAATTTAAGTGTTTAATGCTTAAGTTTGATAATGCATAGACTAACAGCAGGAAATGTAAATCACTTATAAGTAAATTCCAGATCTAGTTCCACCTTTATTTACTCATCTATAATGTGTTTCATTTTTTTCAAATAGCTTAGAAACTTAAGGTAGGAAGAAGGCTGTCTCTCTCTCTCTCTCTGTTTCTCTCTCTGTTTTTTTTTTTTTTTTTTTTTTTTTTTTTGCTACTGGTGACCTTGTGCTTCCAAGGCATGCAGCGGAACCACTGAGCTAAATCCCTGGCCCACTGTTTCTCTTTTTATTCATTTACTCTTTACCCTGAAGAGAAGATTACCCTTAAAGATTACTTACCACATATCCTTATATCAACAAAAAGCTTTCAAAAAGATGAGTAATTATGACCTCTAGACATCTTACTTTATCGACAACAACAAGCATCACATCGAACAGTATTACCCAAGTCCTCATTTAGGTTCTGATATAGATATTTTATATCTATAAATATGAATATATATGTATCTTAAAATTTAGTCATTATCTTAAATTTTTAATCTAGGTGGTAAAACCCACAAACATACATGGAAAGAAGAATATCGCCAGGTCAAATGAAATAGATTTTAATTTCTATTTATATTTTTAAATATGTGCTGATATTTCTTATTTTAACTAAGGTAAACAATTTAAAAGATAAATAAAATAAAATGAGAAAGACATGATTTCTCCTACCATTCAGATACCTATTATTGGGCCGGGGATTTAGCTCAGTGGTTCTGGCACCTGCCTCGAAAGTGCAAGGTCCCAAGTTCGATCCCCGGTACCAAAAAAAAAAGATACCTATTATTTAAATTGCTTCTAAATCCTTAGAGAGGCATAAAGTAGGAAGATTGATTGCATTTTATAGCTTGAACATTTATAGAAGAATGAACTAAAAGGTAAGATTTTTTATTATCAAGTTTAGCTTGCTAATCTTGATTTTAAACTTAGCATCTATGATTCCTGCCTAACAGCTTAACAATACATGGTTAATAACTCAGATTTGGAATAAGTATGGAGCCTATGTTCATGATTTTTCTTCTAGTATAATCACCAAAGGCAGAGTATCCAAGGAAGAATGATAAGGTTCAGAAATGACTTCCCCAAATGTACACAAAGAAGCAGTTGAATAGAGGGAGATGGTTTATAGGAACAGCTTGGATCATTCTGGTCATGAGATGATTTTTCATACATGTGCTGAAGAGACAGGCTGCAAAATCTTACATGCACACATTTTTCTTTGCTACTATTCTTCTCATGCTTAGAAACATGCAAACAAAGGAAGGAGAATGAATGTAACTTTTGTAATTCCAAATCCAAATTTTTATCTAATGTACTATTTGTGTGTACCATTTAGGGTTATTTCCCTTTTCCTGACATACTACTTTTTTTTTTTGACATACTACTTTTTATTCAGCTTTAACTTATTCATCAGTTACTAGCTTTAAGAAGTTATTTTCATTGCAACTGTTTTTAGTTTAAACTTATCTCAACTGAATTATATATTTGAAATGGCAAAAAGATATGAGATATATTTTAAGAGGTTATAAAGGCTAATAGGTAGACTAGAGCCAAACAGGCATTAAAACAATTTACTGAAATGAAAGTAAACAAAGAGTAAGTGGACTTGTAGTGGTTCCATTATTGATTCTTTTAACAGACTAGTGTGACCATCTCAGATAAGGAGCAGTGAAATAGGCCAGATGAGGTGTGTGTGCGTTTTAGCGGAAAGAGAATGAATATGCTTCTTATTCATATGTGCATTCCCCTGATATACTGAAGAGAATTTCCTATGGATGGTTTTTAGGGCAATTTATAAGGAATGAAAGAAATTTCATTCTGGTTAATTCATGAAAAAGGTTTCCACTAATTTTGGTACTGTGTGGTCTTGGGGTAGAAAAGACAGAAGAGTCATGAAAGAAAGGTGTGGAATCTGCCTTGTAGGTATACAGATCAGCTAGTATGCATTCCACTGGAGAAATACAAAAAGAATCAATTAAAGTGGAAATAAATAAAATGTCCAGGGATTCTCCAGGGAAGAAATAAGTGGGAAAATTTTTATGTTATTATGTTATTTGAATATATAGTACATTGCCTATGTATCTTATCAAAATTTAATGTAGAAAATGTCTACTAGGCATAAAATAAAGGAAAATTTCAAAGTAAATTATAAATGGTTGCTGAGCATGGCACACGCCTGTAATCTCAGCACTAGGGAGGCTGAGGCAGGAGGACTGCATGGGTTCGAGGTCAACCTGGGTTATATAATGAGTTCAAGGCTAGCCCACACTACATACCAAGACCCTGTCTCAAAATAACAAATTATAAATGGTTACTAATCATACTCTGACTCCTGAAATTATAAATATGCATTACATTTACTATGAGTCCTATATTTAAAATTACAGCAAGATTTATTTTTAAAAGTATAACAAAAAATGATAGTGCTTGCTTTGCTTCTGGGTTTTGGGCCTCCATCCTTTAGTTGATGTCTTAAATCTTTTTAAATATTCCGATGACTTAGAGTTGAAGTTCCTACTGCAAGGATTTATATCAAATAGTCATTTAATTCAAAACAAGATATTTAAGATTTACTGAGCAATTCATCAAAAGCAAATAGGTGGATTTATGGGCTCAATATTGCCAATGCCAGTTGGTGGGGAGTATTCGGTTCACACCTTCTCCCAGTTTTCGTATCATGGAATGCCAGCTGTTCTGAAGATATTCATTCTCTTTACATACTGAAGGATGAAGGATGATTTCTGCTTCTTCCTCACACCTGTTGGCAGACTGAACCCTGGACATGGGTTGGAGAAAAGTCAACCCTTTACAGAGCTGAGACCTTAATGGCCCTGGAAACCGTGGCTCTTCCTCAAGGGTGATTTTGGTGCCCAGAGGACATTATTATCTAGTAATCATACTGAGAAGAAACTCTGGTGTAAACTCAACAATCCCTTTGTTATCTTTCTTGGGCCTTAGTCAGTTCCCACCCTAAAGCACTGCATGTTCAAATTGCAAGGGGGGAGGCCCACTTGACACCCATGGAAACCTGCACTTGATGGGAAGCCGCAGTAACTAGGACAAAATCTTGGATCGAAAGGCAGATTTTGCTCCTCAGTACAAAGTGAGCAGTCAGTTTTCCTTAACATTATATTATTGTGATTTAAAACATTCCAGGACTGTAGAATATCCAAGTATGTTTAAAACCCCCAAGAAAGGCAGTCTAAGGGGCAGGGATGTAGCTCAGAGGCACTACACCTGCCTGGCGAGGGCAAGGTCCTGAGTTTGAGTGTGGGTACTGGGAAAAAAGAAAAACGGCAGTCTACTGCAGAACATAACAGTCTTCACCCTCAGATCAGAGGCAGACTCCTTGCTGCAAATGTAGATATTTTTTCTTAAAGGCCTAGCCCCGCTTTTCACTTACTGTCCTCAGTGGAGAGGCCTTCCAGTTGTGCAGCCACTGATTAGCTTTCTATTCACCAAATACCCACACAATGGCAGCCGATTCTTATTTTGACAGTAAGTAGAGCCATAAGCCCCTGCCTCTTTCTACTGAGACATAATATGGACCCATCTTCCCACAGCACATTACAATTCAGTATATATGTACTATAGGTAGTTATCAGACCAAGGTAAGAAGCTCTCCTGTCTCTTCAAACACTAGTTAATGTGTCTGGAGTTTCATACTCTCCTACGCATTTTAAAGCACTTCGTGGGTTACCTCCACCCATAGCTAGCCTACTGTGCTGCAGAAAAGGCAGCTCACTCCTGCTGTTCGGATGCCCCTCCCTGAGTTCTCTGTATGCCCCCATCCCTTTCCCAGTTTGGAGACCTGTGTTTCACTCCATTCTTCCCTGAGATAAGCTTGTTTTTTCAGTATTGAGTGCAGGGCCTTTGCACTGAGCTACAGCCCCTATTTTACTTTTTATTTTGAGATAGGGTCTTGCTTTGTCACTAAATTAACCTACACTTGGATCAAGCTTGTCATTTTCCTGCCTCAGCTTCCAAAGTCGATGGGATTAGAGGTATGATCCACTATGCCCAGCCAAGAGAAATTTCTGACGCAGCTGTTTTTTCATCAGTCATAAATCGTCCAATATTAGCAGTTTCGTATGACTAAATGTAAGACTTTAAAATTTCTTTTTTTTTGTTTTTTGGTACCAGGGATCAAACTCGGGTCCTTGCGCTTGCGTAGCAGGTGGCGAAACCACTGAGCTAAATCCCCGGCCCTCTCCTTTAAAATTTCATCTCTAAATGTTTTCAAATCTAAGAACCAGACCTATAGATTACGTCTAAAGATGAAGATATTAGTTTGTGTGAGCTACAATCTATTTAAATAATAGGCTTTTAGTGATAGTCCCAGGGTACTATTGCCTGTGAAAGAGCACATGGGCACTATTAATCTCTAAAGATTCCCATAAAACGGGGTTTATCTTCAGATGCTTTGCAGTGATGTTCATTTGAGACTCGCTCTGTTTTCCCCTGAGCCATATTATATAATTCTTACTCCCATTTCTTTCCCTCCAACTCCAGTTTAATCATTGAGATATCAAATCAGCTTGCAAACTCAGTGGACACTTGTCTGAATTTCACGTCCATGCAGATATGAAATCTGCAGGTGTTAGGCCTTAGAGCTTCAGTGGCAGGCCCAGCCTCACACTGTTCTTTCAAACACTGACAAGTCAGAGGCTGGATCTCTGCAGGGATTCTCTGTTGCCCGTGTTCGTGGACTGCGTTTATAGGGACAACTGAGTCTCCTGTGTCATAGGACAGAAGCACTACAACCAGCACTTGGATGGGTGTCGAAAGCAGTGAAATGAGTCACTAGGTTTCTTGTTCGGACACATTTCACAGTCCCACTGAATATTTTGAAACCTCTCAGTTTAAAGAAAAAGCTCGGCAGAAAATAAGAAATCTTTTACTTCATCAATTACAGTCTTAGGTATGATATCATTTTTATATTTCAATCAGCAATCATTACTCCTACAACTAAGGCAAAATTTATATTCTATCATTTTATAGGGTCTCTAAGACTTGGGGAATATTATTCATGGCAGTCAAAATCCACGGGGGACAGTATTTCCATGGTGGGAGATGCTTATGTTACTACTGTTCATACAGCCCTGCCCCTACTACGTGGTTGAAAGGGTACTCATAGTCCTTGCTGTTCTGGCATGTACTTCAGCACCCCGACTCTGAAGAAATCACTGTAACCAGTGACCCTTGCAATGCCTATACTCACTGAGATTTCTTTTTTTGTGATGTTTCTAAATATCTACAGCTTTTCAGCCATTGGTATGTTTAACAAAATACACACTGGTCAGGTCACTGACTGGAGCTCTTGCTAGTCACACAAAGCCTTCTGTAGCCCCGAAGTAAACATGGATCTTGCTTCTGTTTATATCTCATGCAGGAAGGTTGTTTCTGTTGGCTTTTGCTGAATAACAAATAACCTCAAAAACATAGAAGCCTAAAACAACAACCACTCATTTAAAAATCTGTGGCTGGGGAACTTAGGCTAAGGGGAAATTCTGACCTTAGCTGGGCTCCCTCCTGTGGTCTGGTGGCTGAGGACTGAAGAAAGCAGGTGTTGGTTCTGTCTTCATAGAGATGGTGAGGGGTCTACAGAGCTCCAAACAAAGAACAGGAAGTGGCTCTTCTTTAGGTGAGGCTCAGAAATGGCACATTTTGTGTGTCCAACCTGCCATCAGCTTATGAAGGTGCAAGTTTATCCCAGACCTGATTCAAAAAGTTGAGAAATAAATCGCACCTGTTGGCACAAGGAGCTGTGACACTACTTTGCCGAATACCATGCTGGGCAGGGAGCAGTGGAAAGTTGTCATCGTTGTTGCGATCTACAATAAAGGTCTTCCCTTGTTTGCAGTGAGATGAGTATGATTGCCTAAAATTTCAACAATCTCTTGTCTGAGATAACTGTCCTTCCCTTTGTAAAAACAGTCTATGGTTTATGCAGGAGATGTGCAGCATATCAATTCTGTCCGCTTTCCAATTTGTAATGGGCAGAATAAGAAGAGAAAATAGAAAGCCAGGCCAAGATACACTCATCTACTCGCCAAATACTGATCAAAGCACCAGCTGTGTGCTAGGGACTCTAAGGTACTATGTAGCAGTGAACAGAAGACAAAAGCCCCTTTCCTTCAGGGCATTAGAATCACGGTTTACGTTATTCCAGAAAGTAATGACCAGCTCACTTGCAGCAGATATCTGTGTGGACAGTGTGCATTTCAAGGTTAGTTCCACCAGTATCTGTTGTCCTCATTAGTTTACTAGTGCATTTATGAAAGACATCTGTTTACATGGCGAAAATAAAATATTTCTGCCTATGTTTTGTTTGGGCCTTGAGGCGAATGTATGCATTTTTTCTGTGACCACTGTGTTGATGTGCTACTAATTGTTCATAAGATGGCAAAACGGAGTAAAGGTACAGCTTGTGGCTATGAAAAAGAGCAGACTTAATGGGGCCTTTGGAGAAATGACCCCAAGACCTTGGCTTCATCCACAGCCTGTTCTGGCCAACTGAGATCCCTGCCAATGAGAAGGGTTCCCTCGAGAGGCTCCAGAGAGCATCAGCATAAATTTAAATTCTGGACCCCCAAATATAGTTTGGAAAGGGCCTCTTGTCCTTTGCTAATTACAAAGTAAACATTTCTCAGCGAAAAGACACTTCCTCTCTCAGGTTGTGTCCTCTCTTTCCACACTCGGAACTTGGTCATTCTTGAAACTGCTGGTATTGCTGAAACCTCTTTGGCACAGAAGCCCCACATTTGAAGGCGTGAAAGAATTACTCTTTGCATAGATCATTATCTCAATCATTAGCTTTTTATCTACTCCAGCGACTCTATGGAAGCCTTATGGGCTAACTTTGTAGATGTTATAGTCTAGCAGACAGGAGTGGATACCTTCTTCTCTGGCTTCCAACAGGGGTGACCGAGAAAATGCAAGCAAGTTACAGTTAAGTTCTGTGATTTCAATGAGAAACATTCTCAAGCTTGATTACATTAAAATCATACTTTTTGAGCATTGTGAGAAGAATTCACCACTCCAATGGCTTAATCCTTCTACATGGCTGTCAAACCAGAATTTAACTAGAACAAGGTATATGTTTTACTGATGGACAAATCCAAGCATAAAGTTTCCAGCCTCCTGTCTTGTACCAATAAGCTATCATTATTAAGATGACAAAGTGGAGGTAAAGTTCTTCAAAACCTCATAAGAGGTCTTCAAAACCTCTTAATCCACCATGCTTTCATTTCCCACCAGGCACTTCTCTATTTCATTTTCAATTCAGTCCTTTTACCTTTTGTTCAAAACACCCCTTTAGCATATCCTAAATTAAAAGTACTTATTTCTCCCTGATTTTGTTTCTCTAAAAAGATATTTATATGCTATATGCAATAATTAACATAACAGAAATCTATATTAACTTACTCCTCATTGACAGTTCTTTTTCAGCAATCTCACTATTACACTTTCTGTGGGTCTGTCTCCTCCATTCTCTTTCAACTCATCCTGCAATTCTCTTTTTTTTTTCTTTCTGGCACCGGGGATCGAACTCCGATCCTTGAGCTTGCACAGCAGGCACCAAAACCACTGAGCTAAATCCCTGGACCCCTAATTCTCTTTGTTTAGTGATTCTCTCCTGCTACCTTTAGGAAGAAATCTGGATCTTAACAGTAACAAGATCATATTAGCCTGGCTCTTTGTTGAAAACTCCTCTTCCCTCTTTGCCAGCGTCCATTCATCCAGTCAAACGAAAAAATTCTAATTGGCTCTGCTAAGGTCACATGATCACCCTTTGAACCAATCATTGTGGTGGGAAATTAGTGTACTGTGATCATACCATGTAAGTCACATGCCTACAATTGAAGCCTGGGACCAGTGGCCTTTGAGAGTAGAGTTTCTAGTTAGAAATAAAAGTAAAGGTGTAAATGATTCCCTTCCAAAAAGAGGCAAGGTGCTGAACCTCACAATTAAATAATGAAGAGTGACCCAAGTTTTAAAATGAGTTTCAGAGTAGATATTCATGTCCAATATAATGCTAATTATATTTTAATTTAACTATTTTTTCTAGTTTCTCTGGATTTTCTAGAAACATTTTTATGGGAATAAACTGGCTTCCATTGTATATAAATCAAATCCACTACTCCTTTGAATGGTTTCTGGGACTGGTTTGTGCAGGCTTGGGAAGAGCCATGCCCTTTTCCACTTCTAGCTGCCGAATGCTATTTGCAGTTGCACAGTGTGGGTAATGACCTTTTGCTTGATTGTGCACCAGGCCAATGGAACTTTAAGATTAATTCAAGCCTAATTACTAAACTCTTGTGTTTATATTATGCATACACCACTGGGTCATAGCTCTGGATTCTGTGAGCCCAGGCTGCCATAATTGAAAAATATGCCTTGTAAAGAGTTGCTGTGTTTACTTGTTTCTGCTAGAAGATCTTGTTTTTCCTATTTTTGTAATGAAACAGATTCAGAGAAGAGTTTCTGAACAAAGTCCAATTATATTTTCCGTGTCAAGACAAACATGCACATTTTTAAATGAGATGCACGCTTTTTAATAATATCACATTTTAGGCAAAAAATATTATGGTGAAAGAATACTTTTTAATTCTAAAAGTAAAGCAGATACAGAAACCATGTATCATGCTTAATATTAGCAGTTATTATCTAATTGTAGCTCATGAACAAATGATATTCTCAGAGTAATAGTAATCAACTTTGCCATAGTGTCATTAGCAGAAGGCTTATTAGATAAGTACTTTTTAAGGAATATGTATGTATGATTGAAATGTCCCTTAGAATAATAGGTACAACTTATAAACATCTGATATGCTTCTTATCTGTTCTTTAATCAGCACAAAAACAATGAGGAACTTTGTTTTATTTCAAATTTTGTTTCAACAACTAAGATATAGTTTACTATACTTGATCCTAGCCAGAAGGCCACAAATACTGAAGTATTTCCTAGGCAAACCTGTAGTGCATTTACATTTGTCCACCTTGTCAAATTTTATTTTGAAATGTTCAAGAGAAAGGAGTTCCATATTTAATTTTACCACCTTAGCCAGTGGCTTCTGACCACATAAACCTCCCCTAGTGTCACTGCTCTGGCCTCACCCTTTCCTCCCATCTGGAACATTCCCTCAAATTTAAATAAGAAATATCTGCTCTTAGAGTCATTATTTCTTCTCATGTTCACCAAAAATAATCTTTAATATTTGCACTGTCTACCTAATGAACCAAAAAGACTACAGAAACCAGAACCATCTCAGTTCAACTATGAGTTTGTCAGTTGTTTTGCTTCATTGTTTAGATTTCACAAAAGCTATAGTTTAAAAGTATTGATAATAGCCTACATGGTCTTGTAAAAAAAATTTTTTTAAAGTAGAAAATAAATAAATAAAAGAATCATAATCTCATTATCTCTCAGAACAGTCTCATCCTGCAAGAAAAGCAACGTTAAAGGCTATTGCATATTATTCCTCTCCCTATAGGGATATACACATAAAAACATACTTCCATAGAGAATGAATATTTTCTTTTAGAATGCACTTGGCTTATTTCTCGACAGAGAAAAATGTGTATCCTTCTACCTCAATAGTGTATGTGTCACTTTTTAATTTGTACAACATGAGCATCTTTCCAATTCATGCTTTTTAATAGCTGCAAAATGTTACATTCTATGAATAACATAATTTATTCAACTATTCTGCTATTCATGGACAATAAAATTGTTTCCTGTGTTTCATTTACTACTACAATAAATATCTCAGTAGTGTTAATGAACTGATACATTCACTTTCTAGCAGAAGTAAAAAAGATGATACATCATAGTATTTAGAACATAGTATTTAGGCTTTGGAACTATTTGTTTTCAGATATCTATTGGATTGTTAACTAGCTCTGAGACTTTAAGTGAACCCGTTAGCCTTTGTACATCCTATTTTCCTCAACTATAACATAAGGGTCACAGCAATCACTTCCCAAAGTTGGTTAGGAGGTGTGAGTTGTGTATAAAACTCTTATACTTGTACCTAGGAAGTGCCCAGTAAGTATGAATTTTAATAAAAAATGGAGTCCCAAACCTTGGATGAATAAAGCAAAAGATATCTATCTTTTAAGTATTAATATATTTTGCCAGATCATTTTTCAAAAGAGTTTAAGTTCAGACTTGCAATATATCAGAAATGCCTGTGTCCCCATACTCTCACTGGACTGAATGGTATCAGTCCTTTAAGTACTTGCCAATCTGATGAATTAGCAAGTGATACCTTGTTTTATAGGGATTTTTCCACACTACTGATACAACTAAATAGATACTTATTGGTTATTTGGATTTTTACAAATCTCTATGTTTTACCCATTTTTCTATTGAGCTAAATATAGCAGTTGTAGAATCTCTTTGTATAATAGGGACAGTAACCTTGTGTCACATAGAAAGTAAATATTTTCTTAGTCTGTTATTTACCTGACTGTGTCTATAGTTGGTTTTACATATTTAAGTAATACCATTCCCTTCTGCAATGCTGCATTTTTAACTTAGATACTGTAATCTGATGTGTATCATTCAGCAAACATTTATTAGCAGTAATTATGTGCTGGACATACTGTTGTGCACACTGGTGTGACTATTTATGTGTATATGATGACCCTTATCCATATACAAGGGCTATATCTTCCCCTATATCCTGCATAAACTTACTTCTCCCTCTACTGTGGTAATTAAGAAGTCTTAGTTGGAACTAATATTATTCTAGATTTCCTCTTCTTAAATAGTAATAGCAACATATGAGAGATTGGAATAAGGATCAAAAAGCACTTTGGGGTGCATTGGTGTCATCAGTTTTATTTTTTATCTTTTTTGTAATAAATGACATTGAAGAGTGACTTCATATAATGTCCATATCACAAAGCTGGTAATAACAGAAGAAGAAAAGGAATCCCTGTCCTTTCCACTCTGTCATGCTGCTGTACGGCACATCGTTTTGCATTGCTTCATTTTCATTTGTTTCATGAACTACATTCATGAAATTGAATTGTTAATTCAATTTGTGGAGCTCTCTAGGTACTTATGAGTGTATGTATCACCATATTAACTTTACCTCCTTTCTCTTTCTCAGTCACTCATCATCATCCCTATTTTTAAAAAGTGAATGGACACATAATAATCATACATATTTATACAGTGATAATGTGATGAATGTTTCATTAGCCCTATAAAAATAGGGCTAAGAAACAGCAAAGAGAGCCACTTACTTGAACTACCCCTCACTGCCAAGTGGAGAATAGTTTCCCATCAATGAAATGGGTCTTGCCAGCAGTTTGTCCACACTGCCTGGGGTGGTGCGCAGTCTGGTATTCTGGAAAAAAACAGATTTAGTTACTATGACTTGTGCTGTTATAAACATAGGGATGCAGGCATCACCAACACACGATGTCTTTCAACTCTTTCAGAACAATGCCTAGAAATGGAATACCTGGGCTAAATGGAATTTCCAGTTTTTGTTTTTTGAGGAATCTCCATACTGATTTCTATCATGGTTGTACTAGTTCACATTCCCACCAACAGTACAGAAGGGTTTTTTTCCCCCTACAGCACCACCAGCATTTGTTGTTATTTGATTTCTTGATGGAATAGCAGTGTTGTTTAATTTGCATTTCTCTAATGGCCGGTGATGTTGAGCATGTCTTTTTGAATTTATCGGCCATTTGTACTTCTCATGTGATGTTTCTATTCATTTCACATACCCATTTTTAAAAACTGGGTCTTTTACTTCGGGGTCTGATATTTTGAGTTCTTCATTCTAGATATTGGTCTTCTAGCTGAGGAATAGCTGGCACAATTGTTTTCCTATTCTGTACATTTTCTTTTCACTTTGTTGATTTTTTCTTTTGTTGTGCAGAAGCTTTTAAATTTGATGTGATCCCATTTGTTGATTCTTGGGGAAATTTTCTGTGCAACTGGTGTTCTTTGTCTATGCTTACGATTTCAAGAATTTTACCTATTTAATCTTCCAATGGGTTCAGCATTTCTGTTTTGATATTTAGTTCTTTAATCCACTTTGATTTTGGTCTAGAACATGGTGAGATATATGGGTCTAGATTCAATCTTCCAAGTGTGGATAGCCATGTATTAAAGATTTTATCTTTCCGCTAGTGTATATTTTTGGCCCTTTTGTCAAAGATTAAATAGTTGAATGTTCTTGGGGTTGTTTGTGCATCGTCTGTTCTGTTCCATTGATCCTCTTGTCTCTTTTTATGCCAGTACCATGGTGTTTTTATAACTGTCACTTTGTAATATAATTTCAAATCTGCGATTGTGATGCCTCCTGCTTTTGCTATTCTGAGTCTTTTCTAGTTCTATATGAATTTTAAGTTTATTTTCTGCTGTTCTGTGCATAATGCTGTTTATTTTGATTAGAATTGTATTAAATCTGTATGTCAATTTTGGAAGTATGGCCATTTTGATGACAGGGGTTCCATTTTCTATGTCTTCTACCATTGCCTTTTTCAGAGTACTGTAGTTTTTATTGTAGAGGTCTTTCACTTCCTTATGTTAATTCCTAAGTAATTTTTTCCTGGTGCCATTGTAAATGGTATTTTTTCCTAATTTTTTTCTCAGTGAGTTTCTTTCTACAGGAATGCCAGTGATTATTGTGTGTTGATTTGTATCCTGCTACATTATTGAATTTGGTTATTAATTCAAAGAGTCTTGATGACATTTTTTGGTCTTCTATGTAAAGGATCATGTCTTCTGCAAATAACGATAATTTGACTTCTTCCTTTCCTATACATATCTTTTTTATTTCTTTTTCTTGCATAATTGCTTTTGCTAATGGTTTGAGTACTATGTTCAACAAGAGTGGTGATAGTACACATCCTTGTTCCTGATTTTAGAAGAAAAGCTTTCAGGTTTTCCCCATTTAATATGATAACAGTAGGTTTGTCACAAATGGCTTTTATTAGATTCAGGTAAGGTCCGTCTGTACCTGTTTCTTTCAGTGTTACTATCATGAATGGAGGTCAAATTTTGTTAAAGACTTTTGCTGCATCTATTGAGATGATCATGTGATTTTGTCTTTGCTTCTGTTCATGTGATGTGCCACATTTATTGATTTATATATGTTGAGCCATCTTTGCATCTCTGGGATGAATCCTACTTGGTCACAATGTATGATGTTTTTGATGATTCATTGCATTCTGTTTGCCAGTATCTCATTAAGGATTTTTGCATCTATATTCATTAACAAGATAAGTCTATATAGTTCCCTTTTTTGGTAGGAGTCTCGCCTGGTTTTAGGATCAGCAGTCACTTCTCTTTTGATTATTCAATACATTTGATCTTAGCCAAAAGGTTGAGAAGCTATGACTATTAAATACATAACCTAAAACACTAGGTTGGCAACTAGATTTAAGTTGGGTAAGACCTTAGGAGACTACTCTGAACATTTTTTACATAAACTCTAAGGAGGTCAAATTTAGAAAAATCTCAGCTGCTATACTTGGGTTCCATGAGAAACTCACCAGTTATAAAATATTAATAAATGGCAGATGACAGATGTTTATTGCTTAACTAAAATATATGTGCAATACTAATTTTTTCTAAAAACTAGTTTGTTACCAAAGGACTTGAATATATATCTTGGAATATTGGAGAAATAAAACTATGTATATGTGATGCAGAATCTTCTTAACTGCAAGCACCTGTATTTCCACAGGAAACGGAACTATCTTTATTTCATCACATTAAACAGTAAATTGGCATGAAACTTTATTTTTTATACTAAAATTCCTGTTTTGTAAGCCCACATTTCTCTATAAAAGAGACTTATGAATCATTTTATATATAAATATACAACACAGCACATACACAAACCCACCCACACACTTAACTGTTGACCTCAAAATCTAAAACCAAATTGTTTAACAAACACAGTTTTTACAATCAGAATTTTAAAAAGAATAATAACCAAATGGTGAGTTGGTTTAGGTCCTAATATTCCATTTTACCCCACTAAATAATACACAGTAGTAACTACCAAGTATCTACTCACTTCTGGATACAATAGTTTGGTTACCTGTTTATATAATTGTGGAAACCTGATAAGATGCTTAGAATAGAGATAACTTCCAGTTATTACAAGGGAAGTAAAATGGTTTTACAGGACAATCATCCATGAACTAAAAATCATCCCCCCCTTACCAAAAAAAGAGACAAAAAAATTTGCTTAGGTTTTCTGTGCTCTTCAACTATATTCATTAACTACAACCATATCTATTAACATAGATTCTTTTCCAACTGGGCTGTGATTTAATAATATTGTCTATTTAAATCTTGGAAGTTTTGCATAATTATCTTATTTAGTATTTTAAGTATTCTAGGCATGTATGCATTATTGTTATCAATTCCTTTATAAGGATGAGGAAATTGAGGCTTTAAGTATGAATAGTGGACTTAAAAATATGAAGTGGCAGTCACATGACCAAAATCCAGATGTGATTCCACATTCAGTAAGATGTCAAGTAACTGAGGCTGAAAAGCGTGCATAACAGCCTCATGAGTGTCAGCCCATAATTGAGTCAGAGTCATGACTGCAGCCTGGATCTTTTGACTGTTATTTATTTCCTTTTATTCTGTCCCCTTTTTTCACATGTTCCAGATGATGATTTATTTCTATTTGTCTGTCCTTTTCAAATTTTACCCATGTCACATGAGTGTTAGCATTATCCATTATGTCGTATTGTTGTTGGTGGTAATAAAAGTGAAAACATTCTCTATTTCTACCACTAAATCAGCTTAGTCTTTCTGTTTTATAACCATTCTGTTGTTCAAAGAACAAACTTGAACATAATAACCAAATTGGCCAATGTTTCCCCTTTTGCTTTAAGTCATGCTGATGTTTAAAAGCAAAATCGTTTTCCTAAATTGCGAACATCATGGCTAAATGCAGTAAGTGGTTTGGTTAGTGGTATCATGTTGTCTAAACAAAGACTGTCAGTCAACAGAGTCAGTGACCCTGAGGCTATAGGGACTTTTGTGCAATTTTCACAGGGCTATGATTAAATACACACTTAATAAAGATTCTCAGTGGCCTTTTTAAGAGGTTATGAAAGTTAACCCTGCATCCAACTACTATTAAATAACCCTCCAGACAAGAAAGTAAATTTTACTTTATAATGCAGTCCAAAAGTGTGGATTTTCTACTCCATTATGAAGCGTATACGGACTCCTAGAGGACACTGCAGACACAGAGCAAATCCCTTCCCCGGAGGCTGCTCAGCTCTTGCTAAGCCGGCTGTGAGTGGGTTCAGCCCTAAGAGAGAACACAGCGTGCATGTGCGAGGAGAGCAAATGCAGCACAACTTCGGGTTTGTTCTTTGGGCACGCAGGACTATATGGAAAAGGCACATGCTGCTCACAATTACTGCAGACATCTGCTGAAGGCACATGAGATTCAGGCTCAGAAAACGCAAAATTTCTCCTAGAATATCATAGCTTAACATTGGAAACAAGGGAAATTGTAAGTGATCAGAGCATGTTGCCTTGTAACATTCTAACTGAATAGCATGGTTATTCTTGTAGGGAGAAAGAAACCATTCAGCTGTTTATTTGCAAAAAGTATTTTTGCTCTAGTAGTATTATTAGATATGTATTTATGTCCCTTAGCTCAGTTAGCCAAAAGCAGCCTATTTCTAATGGTGTGTATGTTTCTCCTACCTTTATTTAACAAAGGCTTAAAATTTTAAAGCAGCTTTTAAATACTTTTTTAAACATGAAATTGAGCTCACAGAATAGGCTTAATAGCAGCAGGCGGTGAAAGGTGAAGATGTGATTTTTTTTTTTTTTTTTGGTACCGGGGATTGAACTCGGGTCCTTGTGCTTGCGCAGCAGGCGGCGAAACCGCTGAACTAAATCCCCGGCCCCTGGCTTAGTAGCAAATTACTCAGGAACACATGGATGTGTTTTCTTTAAATTATATACAGATTTTCAGAATTAAGATGTGGTAAGAATTTACTAGTGGTCATTAAGCCTTCTAAACCACTTGAAACATAATTAGAGATTTGCAAATTCTAGGTTGGCCTAATGGAAATTAGAACAAATTTTGTGGTTGCAATTTTGGCATTGCCTACGTATCTTTATAAACACTGCATCTAGTATAGTTTTGAAATGGTAGCCTTCTTCCATCAAAGAAGACCAAGAGGTGTGAAGAGAGGGGGGAAAAAAAGATGTTCCAAAATCCAGGCAGTACATTCTTTCAGAAACTGCTTCTATGCTAGCTTTGATTATTTCACTGCTACTCTCCTATAAGGAGATAAGGACTAGCTTTCATGTGACCTCAGTGCAGTCATACTCTCCAGA